GCCTCTTCCCACCTACCGTAATGCCACATTACTCAACTGTTCCACTTATTCACATATATTCACTGAGCACCTACTACATGCCAGGCACCATGCAGGTATCAGGAAGACAATAGCGAGCAAACTGATCATGTCTAGTGTAAAATGAAGTATACACTTTAGTGTACTTGAGGAAACAAACAAAAACAAACTGACAAACCAATGTGTAACGTCAGATAGTCTCAAGTACCACGAAGAAAAGAAAAATAACAAAACCATGAAAAAACACAGACAGTGGAAGTGGGGTGCTGTTGTGACAGGGCAATGAGGGAAAGTCTCGCTGTGGCGATGATCCTTGAAGACAACAACCTGGATGAAGCGAGGGACTTGTGCGACTTCCTGGGGAATTACTTCAAGCACAAGGGGAGGTTATAAACGTTAGGAGGTCAGGGACTAACCTTTCTTTTTTCCCAGGCCTAACATTAGGACAAGCCCAGACAAACACTTTCAATCACGGAGGTCCTCCTTTCCACAGTACTGTCGCCCTTCTCAAACAGATGTGGACTAAAGGGGCCACATGCTAACCTGACAAGCTCAGGGGAGGCCTGCATGACGGTCTTGCAAACTCAGAGACCTAAAGTAACCACAAAAGATGGCCTGAAATTAAACTTTAACTAAAAGCAGTTATGGTGGGTAGTTACAACCTAGGCCGGTATCTTCACTGACAAGATCAACTTTGATCCTTACTGAGCCCATTTGCCTTTTTGCCTCTAAGATAACATACCCTTGAAATGTCTGGGTAACTTGTAACTTCCCTTTTTCTGGAGCCCCTGGGGCACAACCAAATGTTCTGGGTGCCAGGACAGATACTACAAATTCCTTCATTATCATGTTAATTGATCCTGCACCCACCTAGGTATGTGTCCATCATTTCACTTTTCATCCAATCCCAGAGGTTTCCCTGCTTTGCTTTCTCCTACCTCCCAGATCTACCACCAATGCATTTGATGTAATCCAATTATGTATTCTCTTTTGATTGTAATGTCATCAATTGGCTGCCTCCTGCACATCCCCTACTGGGGATTGAACCTGAAACCCAGGCATGTGCCCTGACTGGGAATCCAATCGTGACTTCCTGATTCATGAGTCCATGCTCAACCAATGAGCCATATCTGCCAGGCCAGGCACATAATTCTTACAATATGCTTAAGGGGTACTGATATGTCCTCATTTTACATTTAATCTTTAAAAATTTTGAAATTGATTTCAGAGAGGAAGGCAGAGGGAGAGCAAGACAGAAACATCAATGATGAGAGAGAATGATCGATCAGCTGCCTCCTGCAAACCCTGCACTGGGGATCGAGCCCACAATCCAGGCATGTGCCCTGATGAGAATCGAACCTTGACCTCCTGCTTCATAGGCCCACGCTCAACCACTGAGCCACACAACCAGACAGGCACATTTAATCTTTTTAAAAATGTATTTTTATTGATTTTTAGAGAGAGAGGAAGGGAGAGGGTTAGAGAACCATTCATGTGAAAGCAAAATATCCATGGGCTGCATCCTACATGCCTCCAACCTTGTGATCCAGCTTTGAGAGAGAA